TAAGGTAGCTCGAGTCAAACAAGTGCTCCCCACCTCTTGGTATTTCTTGCAGCAAATCCAAAGCAAGAATAAGCACAAATATCATCAAGATCGCTTGAAGTTGTCTGCACCTGAAAGGTGAATGATAAATGCTGTCTGACCACTGAGCATTAGCATTGGGGACATAACGTTCATCTCAACGATGGCAAGTCAACACACTAAACTCGATCATTTCACAGGTAGCTCAGGCAGTGATTACCCATAGCATCAATGATCTGCAGTCCACAGCGATCAAGCTGCTGATCACCACCTCCGCACGTGTACATTATTTCAAGTCCATCATGGTACGGATACATAGTGCCCACATGACACATGATACCTACATGCATTGAATTTTATCTAATATGTCATCTAACATCTAACATTCAATATTCCAGTATTTCGCTCCGACCTTGGCACACACACTCTATGATTTTTTAGCTCCTGCGTTTCAAGATTTTATGTCTCTCGAGGTTGAGATATCCAGGAACCTGCAGCCCACAAATCCAGGGGTAAACAAGAAGTCCCCATCTCGTATCGGATGGGTCTCTGATTTGTGCATAAAACTCAGGCACTACTCCGTAAGCTGGGTGGTTATTTAATATCATGACCAGTTCCTGATCAACGGACTGCTACCTATGTATGGCTGTAGTTGCGGAGTACCGGCAGTAGACGAGCCCCTTTCTCTCATTCTGATTCAGTTCGCCTAGGTATGGAAGACGGCATTTGAGGCCTTGGCAAGGTTGAACCCGAACCTCACGGCATTGGCCCGTATTCTAGAAAGTGACCAATTTAGGGCCCGACTACCCGAATGAAATCTAACAGGTACAGCTATCGGAGAGGGTCGTCTACCGAGACAAAACGTGCGTCCCGTCGGGTCCAAAATCCTTGTCAGATATCCAGGCGAGCCGATAAACCATCAGGATTTTGATGGCCTCGACAACTGAGCAGCATTGGGAGCTGGCGGCAACCAAGATATTTGCTCGAGTAAGCCTTGGGAATTGAGTTTACAGGAGAAGATTTGATTCATTAGTTCGATCGATCTAGACACCTTCTTCTGAACTATCCTGACTTGAGCAAAAGCCGAATTGCACGGTCCTTGTCGAATACGACTTTGCCAATCAAACTTCATTATTCATACTCTGTATTCGTATTAACCAGGCCTGTCGTTTACCAGCTGTCCTTTCTTCCAATACTTCTTCTTCTAACGAGCCCGAGTAGTTGCACAATAAGGCACCACATCATATGTACTTTGTTCTCGTGTTAGCTGGAGGGGCACAAGAGCTACGAGCGCTTCCCTAAATGGCCTGGTGAATCTGGAATCCGGTAGGCTTATCTGCCCAGCATCTGTTTAGCTTTATCGACTGTTCATCTATTTTCGGATCCTTGATACCTCATCTCCTCAGCACCTGGGGATCTTCCCGTCCAACATGAACATCGCAGGCTTATTGAAGTTGATCACTAAAGGAGCTTTCGAGGCCTTCCGCAATGCCGGTTCTAGCTCACACTACTTGGTAGCTATCAGACCTTGAATTAGGTAGCAAAGTCAACGATTCTATCAGACTTGATTGGTCATATCTAGGTACTTTTTCAGATCGCGCTATCCTAGAACCCCTTGTGATTCAAGTATCGATTCTACCTCTCACATCTACCTTATAGGTTGATTCTACCGCGACTTTACTGCGTGGACAAGACAAGGTTGCTTGATAGCAGGATTCCTGAGGTCAGGTATCATAAAGTTTGTATGTCATGGGGGATTAGTAGCTGTGTGGGAACTGAATGATAGCTCCAACTAAGACCTACCCTAAACTTGACCAAATGACTTTAACCAGCCTTTAGGTAGCTAAAACATCGGTAACTTGTATGTAATTTTCGTTTTGTTTATTAATCCTTTTCTCGCAGGTGTGACTCTATTGGCACGAGGAGGAAGGCATGGACATGACTTGGCGACTGGCTCGTATGTAAAACGGACGTTGACAAAGCTTGACTAACACCTCTAGAACTGAGGCATCTTTTGGTCAGCTTCCAATGAATCAAGCCTCAAAAGCATTTCACCATTTTCGGAAAGGCTGATCAGGTAATAAAGTAGTCATCCACACCATTCCTTCCAGAGCTGAAAGTGAAGTACGTAGCGGAAGATCACACATGAAAGCTTATAAGTGACCTCCCCCGCATCTTGCTCACGTCCACTCACGATATTCGACTGACTCTGAGAGAGAACTCTTTGGAAACACAGCCCAGAGAGCTCAGGATCCAGTTTTACCATTCGCCGGAGAATCCGGAGAAGCACCAAGTTGTCCACCTGGGCCACCGACACAATCCATTACATCATTCTGGAGCTACCAACTCGGGGTAACTAGACTAAGCGCCTGTTCCTGGAGCTTCTCCTACCTCAAGTTTCAAGACTACAAGATAGCGACTTTGAAAATGGAGGGTCGACGCTCTTCAACACTTCCGGGAGGTTCCCGTCGGGGTCAAACCGGGGGATATCTCCCAATTGAGGACTATGGAATGATTGGAAATATGCACACCTGTGCTCTTGTGGGAATTGATGGAAGTATTGACTATATGTGTTGGTGAGTGCAGATCGGTGAGATGAGACTCGGAGCTCTCGACTGATAGTCTGAATTGCAGGCCTGATTTCGACTCCCCGTCTGTTTTCTGCAGGCTCCTCGACAAGGACAAAGGAGGGCATTTCTTTATTTCTCCCCCTCCCGATGTAAACTGTACCACCAAGCAGCAGTATCTTCCATCATCATGTATTCTGCAAACAAGGTCTATTCATGAAGATGGTGTCGTCGATGTGGTTGACTTTTTCCCTCGCCCACAGAATATCAAGGTTACCACCAAAGGTGTGAAGCTGAATGCTTACCGGGAAGTCACCAAAGTCCAAGATGAGCTTAAGAAGTGGTTGGTCCGCCGAGTGGAATGCATTCGTGGTTCAATGAATCTTGGTACTGTCCTCGACACGCAACTAGAGGCAATGACTGACTGTGATCAGATATCGAACTCTTTCCTTCTTTCAACTACGGAAGAGATGAGCACGAGACCACTCTCTTCCAAGAACAGCACTTCACGACTGATAATAGGAGTAAAGTTGCCTCGTTCCATAGCAAGGATACTCAACTGCAGCTTGACGTTGCAATTGAGAAGGGAGAGAACGAGACCAGTTGTCCTCTCATAACCTTCAGAAAGGAGAAGCGTCCTGGAATCAACGGCGAGGGCCTCGTGGCTTGCATCCGTATTGAAGAAGGCCAGACGATTTCCTTTGTGCTTCGAAATGATATTGAACACCATGTCACGGAGAATATTACGACTGATGTACTTGATGCTCAGCAGCACTCTACGCAGAGTTTCTGGTATAATTTCATTGCGCAATCGAATTATAAAGGTCGATGGAGAGAGGTTGTGTCTCGAAGTTTGATGATACTCAAGATGATGACTTACGGTCAGGTTCTCGCTCAGATCCAACCTGTGAGATATCGACTAACCTTACATAGAGCCTACGGGTGCCATCATAGCTGCCCCAACCTTTTCTATTCCCGAAGCCATCGGTGGGGTAAGAAACTGGGACTATCGCTTCTCTTGGATTCGTGATTCGAGCTTTACTATCTACATCCTACTACGTCTTGGTTTCAAGGCCGAAGCAGATGCCTATATGGAGTTCATCATGGAAAGATTCGTTCACTCGCGTGGCCCAGATGGAGGCTTGCCTATTATGTTCACCATTCGAGGTGAGACTGACATCCCGGAACTGACATTGGATCATCTTGAAGGCTATCGCGGCAGTAGTCCTGTTCGTATCGGCAATGGCGCGGCTTTTCATCAACAGTTTGATATCTATGGCGAATTGATGGATGCCATCTACTTGTATAACAAATACGGAAAGCCTGTTCCATGGGATGTTTGGAAGGCTGTTCGTGAGATTCTTGGTACGCTGCGCAACCTTGACCATTCCCTTGGCGAGCTAACATGTGTTCAGATTATGTTCTGACTATACTCGACGGTAAGACATATAGCCTTTGGCTTCGTGTTTTGGCTAAACGCTATAGATCCGGACATGTCTATCTGGGAGGTCCGAAATAACAAGCAGCATTTCACATACTCTCAGATAATGCTCTGGGTTGCATTTGATCGCGGCCTTCGTCTTGCTGATAAGAGATGCTTTCCATGTCCCAACCGCGCTAAATGGATGGAGGCAAGAGACAGAATTTATGAGCGTGTCATGGAACAAGGTAGTCCAAGCAAGACTTCCACTGATGAGTGGTGTTGACTGTTTACAGGATATAACGAGGAGATGAAGTGCTTTGTGCAAAGCTTTGAGAGCAGAACTATGCTCGACTCCTCCATTCTTATAGCTCCTCTTGTGTTTTTCATCTCGCCCTGTGATCCACGCTTTCTCAACACCCTTGACCGTATTCTCTTACCCCCAGAAAAGGGCGGTTTGACAAGTACCGGCTTAGTATACCGATATGACACTGAGCTGTCCAACGATGGTAAGGGATCCCGCAATAACTTCACCGAAGCGCAGCTGCTAATGTGAGAAAATCGCGATGTAGGGGTAGGCGGTCATGAAGGTGCGTTTAGTATGTGTACTTTCTGGCTCGTGGAAGCCATGACCCGAGCAGCTGTCTACGAGCCGAAGTATCTGGTCCGGGCTGTGAATCTGTTTGAGAACATGCTCGGTTTCTCTAACCACCTCTGCATGTTCTCTGAGGAGATCGCGAGATCTGGGGAACAACTTGGTAATACACCCCAAGCATTCAGTCATCTAGCTTTAATCAGTGCGGCTTTCAACCTGGACCGTACTGCGAGGTAAAATACAAGGGTGCTGAGAAGGCAGACCGCAGCCGAAAAGTGGCCAAGTTTAGCATAGTTATTTGTTTACTCAATCGTGGGCCCTTGGAAGAATGCATGGGATCATTTTGATGATTTGATTACTGCTACAAATCCGATATCATGTTTCGTCAAATGTGATTGAATCAGCCACGAAGCTCTACAGACACAGAATCTCCAACCTCAATTGTCGGGTATTGTGACTCTTTTTTCATAATGTCTCCTTCAGTGAAAGGTTCATGCCGCATATGTACCCCAAAGTAAACTTTGCCATCGAAGCGCCTTGTCTTTGCGAGCGTCACGAATGGCTCTTCCTTCTTTTCGCCAGTTTCTTGGTCTATACATACCATCTGACATCTGCGACATGCACCCAGAAGCCTGAAGTTCTGGCGACCAATACTCATAGAGCCCCAGCGATCCTCAGAAAAGGCTGGCTGTGCTTTATGACCAGGAGCTTGTTCGAGTGTTATATTTGCTCTAAATGATTTCTCATTAACCGGGCTTCCACCACGGTCGATGATCTGCTGGTTCAGGGCATCAACACTCGAACTATGGATTACCAACATAGGACTCTCGTTAGAGAGAAGAATCTTGGTAGGTTTCTGCTGTTCAGAGTCCGAATCAGGTGGTGATGGCACATCTGGGAAGGAACCTGGTAATGTGTGGATTTTTGAAGGCTGTTGATATCTTTGAATCTGAGCCTTGGAAAGACGGCTTTTCAGCCCCAACCCACCAGGGGGGAAGCGTGCCAAGAAACAAGGAATCCCAAGAGCATTCGAGAAAAAGGAGTTGATCCTGTCCGATGTATATATCTGTGTGCTCACCTTCTCACCACAAACTCTGGAAGATTGCCTGTCAATACTGGCGTCAATGACAGAAGGGTCTGCTGATAAAGGGATAGATATTTGGCTTGGTTGGCCGCTATGATGTGTCCCACGATATGCGATGATTAGCTCGCCCTTGCCAAAATCTAATGTTGGTCTTAACAAAGCCATCTTAGGGCAACGTTTCTGACTCAAAGCATGTCCAGACCCATGATGGACTAAGCACCATTCACGATCCCATGCTAGACCTTCTGGTCGAACCTCCCAAGGGACCCCAGACGGGATCGAGTATCCGGCGCAGCTTTTTATTGGGTAGATAGTAATAGTTTTAACCTTGAGTGCGGAAGAGTCAGGGACGTCGATGGATTTCTTGGGGTCTACATCAGAAGAATCGGTTGGTAACGTTCTTTCTTGGTAGAACTCCTTGAGGAAAGCAACAAATCCATCGACATCTGTTTTCGTGCTCATTGCACCTAGGCTAGCTCGAATGACACCGGTGGGCTTACCAGACATGATATCATTGTCTGCACCGCAACGAAACCCGGCCGAGAAATTCTTCTTCATCTCCCAAGGCTGCAAGTCCAGGGCTGAAGCAATGCCGCCTGGGCTACAAAGCCCACCGGTCCGAATGTGGATGTTTTTGAGATTCGCAAGTTTCTCAAACTCGGCAAGGCTTATCCAAGCGCCCTGGCTATTCCTTAGGTTGAAAGAAACGACAGGCCCATTTCCAAGAGTGTTTTCGTCGCTGGATACCGATGTATAAAGTTTGCAAACCGGGGCACCGTTTGCATGCCGCATATTGCTCAATTCTTGAAACATGCGTTGGGTAAGGTATGAAGTATGGGAGCTGATTTGATCCATTGGACCAAATAGTCGTCGATGTATATCCATGGCAATGTCGAGAGCCACTATGTTATGAAATGGAAGTGTCCCGTCTTCTAGCCTCTCGTGGAGGAACTGCGATTTGGGGGCATGCCACTTCTCCTTTCCAGAAACAACCATGTCTACCGTGCCTCCACCAAAATACTTGCGATTGTCGAACACCCATTCCGAAGAACGCTTCACTAACAAGGCTCCAAGATCGGGAAATCCAAAAATCTTATACAAGCTGAAGACAGTAAAGTCTGGTGCTAAGCTCGGATCGCTGAAATCGAGATAGGATGTAGCAGCAAACGAGGAGGCGTCCAATAATGTGAGAAATCGATGTTGGGGTTTGCGATACAAGTTCCGTAAGTTTTTGGCCCAAGTCAAGGGATATCTTTTGCCATCCATATGGGATTGCGCAGGATAGGCAAACAGTGTTGTTGCTGACGAGTTATCGGTCACGTTTCGGAATGGGAACTGTCCTTCAAGCCATGATCGAACATCATCATCGTCAACTGATGTACTATAAACAGCTTCCTCTCGAGCGCCGACCAAGCTTGTGTGACATCCTTGGTGATATGCATATAGAAAACCTTCTGGTTGATTCCTTATGGCTTCAACAACGAGTTTGACTCCTGCTGTGGCATTTGCGACGAACACCACATCATACTCAGTTGGGTCCGCTCCAAAGAAGGTGAGCAAATTCATACGAGCATCTTCAACGCGAGATGCTGATTGCTGCGAGGATGGTGATGCAGAGTGGGGGTTGCCATAGAGAATCGTAGTCATCTCGTGAGCGAACGAGTCCATCAATGATTTGGAACATAATGTTGTCCCGGCGTGATCAAGGTAGATCGAATCTTTTCGCAGGTCAGTACAGTTCAGAAACATATATAGGTATTATGACCTTGAATCATTGGGTATTCAGCTTCTCTAAATTGCTCCACGGCTCGGTTATAGCTTGAGTCGCCACCCAGAATAGGCACCGTCATCTTGACAGCCTATGTGCAAGATGAGTCGAGTGAAGGGAAACCAAAGTTCCCAATGTTTCAAGGTCCTTTGACACAAAACGGCCAAGCACTTCCGGTGGATATTGAGAGCTTATTATACGCCGCACAACCCTTATCATATTCTGATGAGGAATTCTATGGCACTATCACGACCGATAGAGAGTGGGAGTGGGGTGAAGAGTGGAGGAGAAGTCATGTTCAAACCAAGCCGAGGAGGGAAGTTGGTTATAATACCAGGGCCTAAAGTTGCTCCATTTTGGCTGAACAGGCTGTAAAATAAAGGAGGAGATAGGACCGACGTGGCTATGACAATATCCGAACAAATAGACATGTTATCTTGGTCAGCTGCCTTGTTGTTTGCCGCCCTTTTAGCGACTAAAGCACTGAGCATATCGGGATACTCCCCCAGATTTCAGTGTTAGTTGCAAGCGGAGATCGCCACTTTCCTGTTTCCAGGCACTGTATCAACATTCGCTGCTTGCCGACAGGCCTTTTCTCGTTGATTATTGGTCAATTTATTGCGGAGGAAAGGCACATCAGGTACCTGGTTAGCCTAGGTAGGTAAATCATTGCTTCAGACCATTTAATGATTGCGGCATCAATTGAAAACTACCTACCTACCTTACGTTGATAATAAATCAAGGTAGAGCAGGTGAGATATAGTGTTTTAGAAATCTCAGAAAATGTTACCTATCAAACAGAGAAATAGCATAGAACAATGTGATTCGGTAGGGTAGCTAAGTGTCGCGCTTTTCCTAGAGCAGCCTCAGAGCTTCTCGTTCTCGGCATCGAATCCATCTTCTTTGTAGCGGAGGCCCCGGGATCCTAGCCCGTGCTCCACTATTTCGCTTACCAGCTGAACTGCAATTCCGACTGGCCCCCAGCCTACCAACCAACTCAGCCTCTTCAACCTCACTTCACTCATCACTCGAATCGCATTGAATTGTTATCGCTGTGAAGTGAGGGCGCACATATCTCGACTCAAGCGCTATCACCCCATTGAATTTTTCTTTAAGACTGCGCTCGTCAATTAGTTTGTCTCCCCATATTCTTTGATCTCCTGCTCTTTTCCCCCCTTATCCCTCTTGCAGTTCTTCCAACTCGTCGATCCAGCCGCATCCGCAGCCTCGCGTTCTCCCTTCCTCCTCACTCTTTGACGCGGCATACCCGTCAGCGGTTCTCAAACCATTCTTCTTAATTCTTCTCACGCTCATTCTTCGCCCAGGGCGCGTTGTCCCCCAACTTTCTTCTTCATGGCGCCTCTTTGGCAACCTTCTTTTTGTTCCCTCCACTACCATTTGTCCATACGTTGTTCAAGATAACCTCTCTAACGTCGATCATGTTACCAAACCATAGATAATTCCTTTATATTCCTCGCCAAGTGCTCAATATCGATCCGCGAAGGCTCACCCAGAAACATCGCTTTCTTTCATGCCGCGTCGCGTCGCTGGCAACAATATAAACGATGGACTCGTACACATCTTTTCGCGACGCTTCAGCTCGTTCTCCGGTTGATCGTAGTTGGAGCCGAGATGACTCGCGTAACCGAGATGAGCGTCCTGACCGCGGGGACTCATTTTACCGGGGGAGATCTCCAGGTTCGTCCTCCAAAGGCGATTTTGCTTCCTGCCACCACTTGGTGGCAGGCTTCAGCACAGTGAAAATAGACAAAACTTACAAGTCTCAAGGCCACGACCGCCGCGATCGCCGCCGGTCTCGCTCTCCAGCCACTGTCGACCGCTACGAACCTAGACCCCGACGAGACGACCGAGATCGTGATGACAGACGACGCATGCAGTCACCACCTGCCAATATTGACCGATACGTACCTGGTCAGGATTCCGGGTCAACTAATCCAACTGTGAACCCCATCCCCGACCCTTCCAAGCTCCATTACCAAGTTGGCTTCTCCTACTTTGGAGAATGGTGGAGAATGAACGAGAAGATCAAGGAGGAGAAGGAGCGCATGCGTACTGGTCGACGCCGTGAACCAGAACGTGCTCGCGGCCCAGAAGATCGCGAAAAGGAGAAGGCCAGGATCCAAGCTGCCTATGATGCTTATAAAGAAGAACTTCAAGCCAAGATGGCGCGGACATTTGTTTCTGAACATAAGAAAGAGCAATGGTTCAAGGAGCGATATGTTCCGGAAATTCGTGATGATTTCAGAGGAAAGCTGAACGAATACCGACGCGGTGCTTACAGCCAGTGGGAGCAAGATCTTGAATCGGGTACTTTTGATGACTTTTCTCTTGAGGGTCTTCCCAAGAGTGAGAGTAACGGCAGTGGCGGTGTAGTTGAAAAGGAAGAGGGAGAGGCTACAGCCACAAATGAGATCCTGGGTGTTGGAGATCTGGTTCCAGTCAACGGTGCTGACATCCGCGACGAGAGCCAGTTCCAGCCAACTCTCTTGATCAAGACCATCGCCCCACATGTTAGCCGCCAGAACCTCGAGGCCTTTTGTAAGGAACATCTCGGCGAGGAGGAGGGTGGCTTCAAGTGGCTTTCTTTATCTGATCCCAACCCAAGTAAGCGGTACCACCGTATTGGTTGGGTCATGCTTCATTCTTCATCCGAAACATCACTCCCCGTAGACCGCGTTGAACCCAAGGATGAGGATGGTGATGAGGCGATAACATCTCCTCAGCCGGTATCTACTGCCGACAAGGCTCTGGAGGCCATCAACGGTAAGACTGTCAAAGATGAGGTCAGAGGAGACTTTGTTTGCCACGTTGGAGTCCACAACCCACCTGTCCATCCCCGAAAGAAGGCCCTGTGGGATCTCTTCTCCGCCCCTGAGCGCATCGACAAGGACCTCTTGCTTGTTCAGCGAATTGTCAACAAATTTGAGGAAGAATTCGGATCCGATTTCCAAGCCACTCTGAAAATCGAAGAAAAGGTCGAAGACCTGAGAAACGGAGGTCAGCTTCAACCAGCTGTGGTTCCAACCCCTGTCAAGAAAGTCAAGAAGATCAGGGAAGTGGGAATGGACGAAGCTATGGACGAGGAAGAAGACGGCGTCATTGAAATTGAGGAAGAAGAGGAAGAGGAGGAGGGGGCCGTAGAAGATGAAGAAGTTGATGACGAGGATCTCTTGGTAAAGAAGAAGCAACTTGATCTTCTGATTGAATATTTGCGCCGCGTCTTCAACTTCTGCTTCTTTTGTGTTTTCGAAAGTGATTCAGTTCACGAACTTACACGAAAATGCCCTGGTGGCCATTTGCGCAGACCCCGCAGCACACTTTCGTCTGCCGCGAAAGCTGTTGCTAGAGCCAGCGCCAATGGAGAGCCCTTCCCAGGCAAGAAGAGGGGCGAAGGAGCAGAAGAGAACGAGGGCGAGCTTACTGAAGGTGAAAAGAAGTTTCGAAACGCCTCAAACAAAACGGAGCAGCAACTGCTTCGAGCGTTTAACTGGGTTAAAACTTTTGAAGATAAGCTTACCCAGATTCTGGACCCTCAGTCTGTTGATATTCGAAAGCTTGGTGGCCGACCTGCTGACGAAGCTGTCGATGAAGAGCTTCTTAAACATGTGAAGCAGGAGGACGAACACAAATGGCGGTGCAAAGCTCCCGAGTGCTCCAAGTTGTTCAAGGAAGAGCATTTTTGGCGCAAGCACGTTGAGAAGCGCCACGGTGATTGGCTTGATAACCTGAGGCAAGAGGTAAGTTCTCGCCGCGTCACATTTCATCGTGCTGTACTAACCAAGATATTTAGTTTGAACTCATAAACTCATATGTAATGGACCCCTCTCACATTGCACCCTCAAGAACCGACGCAAACTCAAATGGTCACTTCCCGCCTTCCAATGGCCAATCCAGTAGCGGAACACCACGAGGCTTCAACCTGCAGAACTTTACCATGAACGGTATGATGGGAGGAGGTATGCCTGGCTTTCCCATGGCTCCAGGCAACTTTTCGCCCATGTTTGCAAACATGCAATCTGGAAGTTGGAACCCTATGGACGAACGCTCTGGCGGAGGACCTATCCGTCGTGGAGGAATGGGTGGCGGACGAGGCCAATACCGCTCTGGACCTTATGATCGCCGAGGCGGCAACCGTTTTGACGGTGGTCGTAACCGCAATGGCGGGTCACGCTGGGGTGACGGCGCTGGAGGCGCTGCAGGCGGGCCTCGGGAGGCAGTCCAGGGCCGAAGCCTCAAGAGTTATGAGGATTTGGACCAGGTTTCGGGTGGTGGAAGTGGTGAGCTCAATTACTAAACTGCTCATTATGCTTTCCTTCCAGAGCAATGCGATTTGGACGCTTCGGAGTTTGCTACTTTTCTTAATATCAATCACTAGGTACCTGGATCATGGAAAGGTCGCTGCCTTTAGACTTTATGTATCATATGCCTACACATGTTGCTCTCATGCTGGTTTTTGATGGACAAATAGCCCTGAAAATAATGGTTACCTACAGAATGCTTCTTAGATCCAATTGTTGCCCCCTATCCTCCTGCTCAAAGGTCTCAAGAAACTGAGGAGATGCCTAGAAGGCGGTCGTAATTCTGCACATAATCCTGTGGACCTTACTGGTAGGAACCCTGATGCAAGTTCGAACGGTGCAAACGAAGGCTTCATGCGTGATTCAATTAGCTTAGTTGCTATACTGTAGAAGCGTTCCTAGTCCAGTACACCTATGAAGAAGTACTTCAACTTTGATCCAGTCCTAGAAACTGAGAATGCCTTAGCGGAAGAACCTGTAAGCTTATGCTACAATATCTGGACTATCCAGAATACTCCAATCTTTACAGGTCCCGATCGAAGTTTTTAAATGGCAGTGAGTTCGTTGAGATCTCGGTGAGTCTCGGTGAAGATAAGCTAGCGCAGAGGCAGAGGGAACTCATGTACTTTGCCTGGCCAATGATATCCTGCGATAAGATATTTTCGCGGCCACACATCCCCACCGCCCACCTTTTTTTTCTCCAGGCTTGTCCAACTCTGCCATCGCGAACGCATTGAGGCTCGGATCTCTCAAAACTTCAAGA